CAGGGAGCCCGATGCGGGACTCGATCCCGGGACTCCAGGATCACGACCCGAGCCGAAGGCAGTCGCTCAACCAACTGAGCCACCCAGGCGCCCCTCCTCTGGAGATTTTGTCACTTGGGGAGGGGGAAGCAATGTGGATTCACCATCTGGGAAGGGGGAGGGGGGAGCACTTAGGGGGAGGCGGGGAAGGGCTGTACCATCGGAAGGAGGGGTTGAGATTAGAAACTGTACAGCTTGGGGGGCGGGGGGAGGCGGTATGCAGCCGACCGCACCTCTGGGAGTGACACAGGGACTGGATGATGTCCATGAGGGGATGGGGACCACTGACCCTGCCTCGGGGGTTGGAGGCCCCAGTTTGATGCACCCTGATGTTCTCGAATTCCAGAGACTGCCAGTCCCTGGCAGGTGACTCCAGCTTTGGCACCCCTCTCCAGACAGGGGTACACAACTTTGCAGGTGGCTCATCCCTCAGCTGTGTGTATGTGTGGGCGGGATGCCACATCCCAGGGCCTGTCCCTGTCCTCAGCGTGTCTTGTGTCCCTGAGTGTTCTAACCCCTCCAACCCCCACCCCCAACCGGGTGTTCACAATCTCTGCCCGTTTATGTTTCAGATGTGGAGCAGAGCATGGGGCTGATGCACAACGGGGTGGTGTACGCCCTCTGGGACTACAGCGCGGAGTTTGGGGACGAGCTGTCCTTCCGCGAGGGCGAGTCAGTCACCGTGCTGCGGAGGGACGGACCTGAGGAGACGGACTGGTGGTGGGCCTCTCTACATGGCCAGGAGGGCTATGTACCCCGTAACTACTTCGGGGTGAGCCTGGAAGAGATATATATTGTAACAGCGTCCTGGGGCTATTTGGGGAAAGGGGTTGATTCTGGGAAAAAGAGGAGCAAAAGGGACAGTCCACACTGGGGGCAAGGGAGGTCAGAAGAATCCATTATGGGTTGTGGGGAGATGAGGACCTTACAGTTGGGGGAGAAAGAGCCCCTTCCTGGTGGTACTTTGTGGGGAACTCACTGCCTTACTAGTTATTTGATTGGTTCATGCTCAGTCAAATATTTTTTATCATCCCTAGTTATATTACTGGGGAAGCAAGGAAGAATGTATTTTAGCCAAGGGAAGCCGTGAAGAATCCCATTTTAGTAACCGAGGGGAAGTTAAAGAATTGTGTATTACTGATGTAGTGGTGAGGAACCTATGTTACACTGCAGGGGGCAGGGAGAGGAGGAATCCATTATTCAAATGATGGTAGAATTGAGGGAGGTTGTACTAGGTTAAGGGAAGAGACCAGAAGATCCCATTATATTCCTAGGGGAGAAGATTCTTTTAGTTTGGGGATGGGTGGCGGTGGGTCTCAACGAGACAGTCATGGTGGTAGGGAGAAGCAGGTGTTTCTTTCATGGCAGTATGGAAGACTTGGAAAACTCAATTTCATCAACTGGGCTGCCGAGGCTAAGGCTCCATGTGGTGCTTGGTTGTGACAGGGGCCTTGGGGATTCTGGAGTGATTTGGGAGTCAGCTGAAGGAGTCTGTTAGGAAGGGAGGGGAGGATGGAGACAGCCCACCTATTTGGGGGTGGATTAGGTGACTCCATTAAAGTTGGGGGTGGGATGAAAGAGTGAGAGTTCCTGGCGTCTAAAGATCCTGCCTTCCCTCAGCTCTTTCCCAGGGTGAAGACTCAGAGGAATAAGGTCTAGCTGCACAGAAGGACGTTGCCAAGGGAGGCAGGAGGGAGCAGCCTTGCCTTTGCCCCAGACCTCTCCCTCAGTAACTCCTGCATCTCCTTGGGCCCCAAGCCTACAGGGTTGGGGTCCTCACCTCCAGCTCTCTGCTTCCCTGGAAGCCCAAGGAGAAGGAGAAGCTCAGCCTTGCATTTAGAAACTGCCTTAGCCATGGGAGATCACCTTGAAGCTGGGAATCATTGGAGGCAAGAGACTTCCCCCATCTTCCTCCATTTGCCAAATCAGATCCCGTCCAAAGTGCCTCCCACTCCTACTGCCAACCCCTCCCACCCCTTCAAAACAAGCCAACACACCATCCTAGGGGAGCCTGGGATGTGTCACCTCCACTGGATTTCCCTGGGAGTCACCTCTGCCCCCATCTCTCCAGGGCTGGGTGAGACACACTGGTCTCCCAGCTCTCCCCAGTCAAGTGCCTTCACCCAGTGCTGGTTTTATAACCAAATGGGGACATTTTCCCTTATAAATAAAGGTAGTTTGCACCAAAATTGACTTCCCTCTCTTTGGATCCCCCTCTGACCTAATAAGTGCTCGTCACCCGAGTTCGGAGTTCGACAAACCAGTTTTAAGGAAGCCCCTTTCTAAGGGATTTCTGTCATGTAAATCCAGTACTTCCTCTTCCAAACACACCTGTTTTTTGTGTTTTTTTTTTATGGGAGGAGAGTTTTTTGTTTTTTTGGTAGTGTCTTGATCTTTTTTCATGTTTTGAATTCTTTATGTCTTTAAACATTTTAAGCTTATCTTATAGTATATGTATGATAATTCTATCATCTGAAGTTTGGGGCCATCTACTTTTATAATTTGCTGTGTCTGCTGGTTCTCACTCATGGTGGATTTTTTCCTCGTGTGTGTTGAAATCATGGATTGGGAGACCGTCTTCGACAAGGCTTTATCTTCCTGAAATCCAGGTGGCCTTGTTGAGGGTATGACCCTGAAGAGTGACTTTCCTTTGCTTCTGCCCCACTTCTTTATTGTGTAAACTGATTTTTGGTAAAGCACAGGCATATATCTCCTCTGTGTATTTCTTTCTTTTTTTTTTTTTTTT